GAGAGACAGTGTATCAAAATACCCCCATGCCTAGTTCCTTTATTTGCTCAATAGCAATCTCGGCATTAACCCTCTACTAATGGGACAGCTGTGGGTCAGCGCTTCACACCTTCTGGATGTCAATCAAGGCCTTAAGCTGAGAGATCAGCTTCTCAGACGGAGCTGCTGGTCTGCCTCTGAGTGGCTTTTTAAACATGGAGACGCCTGTATTGATTTTCGCTCTAGCTTGAAACAGAAGGGGCCGGGAGCGTGTCACGACTCCTCGGGGGCCCGGTGTCCATCGTGGCTGTCTGCGTGTCTGGATGGGAGCCTTTCCCTGGTCCCCTGGTTACACTCCACTGATCAGGGGTCTTCCAGAATGACCTGGTAGAGGGGCACTGAACCTGCAAACATGAAGGGGGCAAGGAGCTGGAAGCTCCGGGGGCGGTTGGAGCTAGTTGGTGCAACATCGGCTGAGATCTCAGTAATAGAAAAGGGTTTTAACCCTAATGTTGGAGCCAAAACCCTGTTAGAGGCCAAGTAATCCCTCTGCGCCGCTCTCATTTGAACTCCCGTGTTTTTTCTACCTGCTCTGACTCACTTGTGAAAAGCAATGAGAGCGACCGCTGTGGCAGTGATTTAGCAGCTGAATCAGGGGAGGGTTTGGGGCGAGGGTAATAGTGGAGTTTAAATAAACCCAAACACTCTGTGGGTGCACTCTGCCAGCTGTTAGGACTATATTCATCGGCCTTACATTAACTGCAAATAAAGCATGAGGTGCATTTTTTACTCCATGTGTTTTGTTTGTTTGTTGAGTTTGTCATCCACATATCAAGAGAGCTCGACCAAAGCAGACTTTTACTTAGCTCACATGTGGCTCGCTGTCCTCGCTAATTGCATTTTATAGTGAAAACACATGATGATGTTCTATAATATAAAAAAAATAAATCCTTTTTCCCCATTCACCATAAGTGTTGCCCCATATCTAACATAACCACTTAAGATGCTTCATTCTACCAATTGAAGCATGCATATCTAATCATTTGGCTCAAGTATTTTGAATATCTTTTAAAAAAAAATGTTAACAGTGAATAGGCTTGGGCACTGCGGGTAAAATATGCTAATTAACACACTCGAAATTTCCCATATGAAATCTATCTGCACCAAGACAATGACAAAATAATTACAACAGAGGTAGAATTACAATGGCCATTTTAATCAACCTCTACACTAGCATTTCACCCTATTTATACCGTTTTTGATTCTATGACCCACTGCTAAGTAATCACTTGAAAATTACGGTTCAATTTATAATAGGTCTGCGCTTTAGATGCATTAATTCCACAGAGACAGGGCAAGGAGAGTTATAATACAGATATGCGTCTTGCATAACAACAACTGCTAGACGCTTTTCTACAGCTGGAAAAAAAAAAAAAGAAACAATGTCAAAAACATCTTTAATTGCTAAAGAAACTTGGGGCAGAGTGTGACCATCTGAGAGTTTTAATGGCACGTCTGGAGGGGGAAAACGGTGAAGAGGCGCTTGTCCATCATTGTATCTTAGCCCAAGCTGTCAACGATTATAGACTACAATTTTGTGTGTTGAGTTCTAATTGCTGCGCTGTCAGAGGATGGACTTGACTCTCTTCTGCAAGACAGGTGTAAGTATAACACAGTCCACCCATTAAACAATCCCTATTACTGCATTTATTAGGGGTCACAAATTCCCTTCTGAAAGGTCAACACCGCACACAGGTAGTAACCTCGGAGGCGAGCCACTAAAGAGCCCAATCAGGTATTCACACAAAGGTCAGACTGATTTCTCCGTCTTAAAAAAAAAAAGGAGATTCGTTTTATTTGACCTTCCTTTTCTACTAGAGACTTTCACTCAGATAAAAAAAAAAATACACACAGAGCTGTTCCTCAGCAGCTGGTGAGGTCAGCTTTATCAACCTGAGAAGCATTAAAAAAAAAGAGGTATTTGACAAAGCATTGAATAACGTGACGATTAAATTCTTAAAACCACTTCCTGGGTGGTGACAATTTAAGTCAAAGACGGAGCCTGGAAAGCTGAGGTCCTGTTTGCAGGAGATATCAGCTGCTTGAAAAACCCGACCAGTCTCTTGAGGAATGTCTGTCTCCCCCCACAAGCTTCTCCCTCCTCCCCCAGGATGTCAGTGAAACTGTGCATTGACAAAGGCCTCACAAGAAGGGCAGTATAACACAAGCAACACTGGCAGTCCCTTTAGCAACAACATGTCAGGTTTTCTTCCTTGAACAACTGTATGTATCTGAGAAAAAAACACAATCATTCATATGTTTTTAGGTCAAGAATTGTAATGAGTCATTTTTTCAGATGCAAAGAGAAGTTAGGTGTTAATGCAGGGGTCCTGTTTGCTGCACGCTAACAGCTGAACAAACAGCGTTTTAAATTACAAACTAACACTGTGCTGAACAAACAGCGTTTTAAATTACAATGAAGTTGCCATGTTTACTTTTCTCTCTAAAAACAAAGCGAGGTGAACGTGTCAAAACACCGTTTTTTTATAAACGAAATAAAGATCCATGCTGTTGCTGCAATGTTACAACAGGCTTCCTCTTGTTTTGAAAAGTCACCGCGCACAAAGTGTACACAAGCCTTAAATCAGACAGCAGGGGGGAAAAAAACAAAGACAGTCAGGATGTAGATAAGCACACAATCTCTTATTGAATTCCTGTTTCTGCGTTGAAGAGGATTCTCAATTACCCCTGACAAACACAACATCCAGCGAGACGGCGGCCGTCTGCAAAACAGATATGTTAACTTGACTGGAAGAGTTTCCAGCTTTGATTTAACCACAACAAGACACCGGGCAAAGAAAACTTTTACAAAGATTATCACAGCCCAAATATGGGGTGTTGTCTTCATTTGACGTGAATATTTGATGTACTCTCATCTACAACAAAAGACGAGAAGCACATCTTCCTCTCCTAAACTCCCTCAGCAGACCGTTTGTGTGTTCGCCCGTGTGCAGGAGAGTCTCTCTGGGTGCTTTAGGAGGGTGAGGATGGGAGTTGTCTTCAATTACAATGCAAAACTGTTGTCACTGGGTCTGTATCTGCTCAGATAAATGAAAAACTTGACTCCCTTCAGAAGTGCATTTTTCCCGCACACCTGCCTCAGATGAAAGACCTCATGACAGAAAATCTTTTTTTTTTTCTTATTCTTTTTCAGTTTTCCTCAATCCTTTAGTAAACAAACCGGCCGCAAGACATTCGACTTCAAACCCAAAAAAAAAAAAGGCAAAAAGGAAAATGTTCCCTAAAAAAAAAAAAAAAAAGTTAACAACTTAGAAACAAAAGAACCTTTGTTGTGCCTGATGTTTTGCATGACCAGTGTTACAGCCAGGCATGCAAACGGATGGAAGCAATCGTAGCTATTAGCCTGTGCTGACACGTTTCACTTTTTCGGAACAACAAAACGCACGCGCACAACCAAACTCCGTCTGCGGCCCGCAATTTGTAGCAGTGTTTCACGTCATTAAAGTGAACAAGAGTGCATCTAGTGTTAATTACACCTAATAATAAGGCAGCTGTTCCAGAGTAGATGACTGTGTGTAGGGCCGTCAGAGGAGCAGAGGACTTCAGCATGTCATCATTTTAGTTACAACACATGTTTAAAAAGTTTGACCGTGAAGCATGCAGTGTTTAGCATTTACTGTTTACATACATTCATTGTTTAAACGCCTCTGTTCATACATTATGTGGGCTGTGATGACAACTTTCACAGCTGGAAGGAGGTGCTGTTACTCTGAGCTCCCACTGTTCTACAAGACTGTACACCTCCAGTAATACAGTGGAACCAACTTAAACATTAGACCCTGGCTAAAAACCCACGATTTGCTTCTTACCATTTCTACATGTAGCCTCTACTTTATAACACACTTAAGAACTATTTTGGTAGCTAAGCTGTTTTGCCAAAACAAAATGTATTAAAAAAGAAGAACTATTTTGGTAGCTAAGCGAAATATTTTTTTTATTTTTTTGCCAAAACAAAATGTATTAAAAAACATTAAAAATCGTTTCACCCTGAAAAACTCATTGTAAAGTTGGTGTGTTACAAGATTGGGCCATACATTTTGCTGAAGAAATACATAAGTATATTAGGGTTAAACTGGCTATTTTCTTTTAATTAATAATTTCATATTGCTGTCAAGTAAGACAGGTTCCGGACAACGATCCATGGTCTGTTCTACTACAGGATTCCTTGGCAATTATGATTTTAGCTACAGGACATCTCTCTGTGTTTCTCGAGTGACTACTGAATGGACCACTCTGTGTTTGTATCTGGGCCACATGTGATCCACAGGCCTCTACTTGAGTATGCACTTTCTTACTGGGTGTACACAAAACACTAAAGAAAAATCGAAATGAAAACTACAGACTCAATGCATGAAGCAGCTGGTGCATTTTTCCCATCCAATAAAGGTAAATGTTTAGTACGTGGTAAAAACATTGTGGCTCAGTTGTAATCACTGCACTGAGATGGCGAATGCCAAAACCACAAACAGGATTTCCCCCACTTCCAAAGCACAAGGCTGAGGGCTGGAAATATGAAAAAAAAAAAAAGAAAAAAGAAAAGGAGCCGTGTTTTGGTCACAATGGCAGAATGAGAGCACATGCATATTAACATCAGCCTGCCAAGAGACCTCAGCGCAGGCTTGATACTATTTTAATTGGAAACACTGTGGCTAATATTTTAGTTGACCAACTGACCCTGCTTTGTTCTAGTGCTTAGCCGTCACGACAACAACTACTCCTGACAGCTGGGGAAAGAAATCAAACTTATACAATCTCAAGTTGTACACCGGTTTTATGTGATAAATAAAACATGATCGAACGGTTAAATTTAACCACCTCACAACTTATTAATCAGCCTGTCTGTCTCTAATTAAACAACTCTTTGTTGTTCGTGAATCAAAAACACCAAGATAGCCCATCATGCTGTCCACCCACAGCTTTCCCAGGTTGTTTCAACTTACTTCTCACAGGCTCACAATAATTAGGCTTCTCTTCTGTCACATGACCAGGTCCATCAGTGGCCAGTTTCCTGGGAGATGGTGTTCTTCCTGATGATTCACTGTCATGGGGATCTAAGGTCAAACAAGCATTTACAGTTAAACACAGAGAAAGGAGACAGATCTGTCACACAGAGAGTTAAGGCTACGACGTGGAACTTAAATATAAATTAACGTCAGTTAAAATCTAACCAACGGCAAATAAATATAAAGGAGGAGTGAGTGAGTGAGCCTGTGAACATTGTACCTTCTTTGTCTTTGTCTCACTACTTTAAGGAAAAGTGCACACAGGAAGTTCTTCTCTAGTTTCACGAAGATTATAAACGAGATATCAGTTATTCAGAGATGACGTTCAGGGAAATATATTAAAATACTTGAGAACTCCAACGTGTCATGGGTTTACTCACAACGTAAACACAAGCTGCTTCTTACCATGAAGTCATGTTCAATCAATCAGAAAGTCAATTAGAAATTCTGGTCAAGTTTCGGCCAGTGTAAAAAATGTAATTACTACTGTGCAAAATATTGCACCTGGTATTTTAGTCATAAAAATACAAATTAAATTTAGTAGTCGTAAAGCAATTGTCGTATCTTGTCGGCCAAAACACAGGTAAAATTGAAACTGTTTCATTGACTAAATTAGGACTAAGACTAAAAAAAAACGAAGACTCAATCAGATTGGCTGTAAAATTCACTGTAGTTCAATCATAATTTACTGTGACTGAATATAATTTATTAATCATAATATATTACCTTACATCTGAAACAAAGCACTATTTTTATATACAGTACTATAACCTTGTGACACTGCACTAACAGCATAGAAAGTTGTAAGTACAATCTTTTTACCCAACCTTTTTTATGTCCTACCTGCTTCACACAGATGACGTGACGTGAACACACAAATACTTCACAAATAGGCTGAAAGTACGACTCAGAACACTGCGGCTTTAAGAAGCCAAATATTATGTTGCACAGAGTTACTTGAGTTGTTTAGATTAATCCCATAATGAACAACCGTTCTAAATGAAAGCACATTACAACCATTCTTCCACAAACATGTGTAAACTATTACTGCAGGGTCAGCTACAGTGGACAAATATCAGAGACACGTGGACGAGCCAGGGGTTGCGGAGGCCACTGTTGGATTTTGCCAGAAAAAACACAGAGCGCTGGCAAATGGCTGCACAACACGATGGGGCGGTTCAGGTGAAGGCGCTGCCAAAGCTCTGGATCTCATTTTCTCTCCTTCTGCTCCCGGGTGTGCTCTACCTGCCAAGCTGCGTTTTTACTGCCATAAAGGCTGCATTCATCTAAATTGGAAAAAGTATGTGGGCAAGAACTCTGGGCCTGATAGCCGTGCAAAAGAACTTTCACTCATCTCTCCGAGCAATCCCTTTAGTCTTCTCGACTTCAAGCCGCTGACGCTCTGCTCGTGGCACACTGCGGCTTTGTTCAGTAAATAAACCTTCCACAATGGCTTTATTCTGTGGTTTGTTGCAAGTCGCCTGCTACTGTGCCACAGTTCTCCTCAGAGCAGCTAGGTTTCTCAAGTGAACAAGCTTTGTCTTGATCCACTTTTCCTGAGATCTCCAAGCAGCACAGAATGCTTCAGTGGTACCTAACAATCATGTTTACCAGAACATGATGTGTTTGTTCCACAGCTACAAGAGTCTGTTTGTAAGCGGTAATGGACGGAGGAGCGGTACTCGCTGTAGCCGCGGCCCTGCAGGTCCACATAAATATGGCAGCATACAGTCGGCCTGGATTTGATGTATAGCAACATCGGTGGCGATAGCAGCAGTAGCGTGTGATGCATCGCAGTGTTTAGTGATCACAGTTAGAAATAAATTGCTCCATTCTCAGTACATCCACAGTCCCCCGGGAGGGGAAAAAAATCAGTCTTTACTGCGATTGCCTCTGAAGGTCCAGTGAAAAAAAAAAAAATCCATTCGCAATCCAGTAGCCCAAGTGATTGCTTACTTTGTCCTACTTTGCTATTTTTTGACAGTGCCATAATGATGCTTGGTATAAATAGGATGGTTAACGGTTCATTGCTTGTTTGAAGAAAAATGAAAAGGGGGCGGGGGGCGGGGTTAAGCTTATTTTACATGTGATAATCTGAGGGGCAACTACAAAGTTAATTAAAAACTATAATTGGCTGTGGTTGCTTTTAATAGTCACCAGGGCGTTTCTGGAGACTTTATTGAGTGGTTAAAAAAAAAAAAAAAAAGTAAAAACATTATTAACGCTCAGCAGATACCCGTGTACACTAAACGCCGTTATTTAAGGAGACAAGGCCCATGTTGTACAAAGATGTCTGAAAAATTCGAATACACTGAGCGATTAATGTATTGATCTCATCAGTTACATCATTTAAACAACACTGAGAAACAATATAATTATCATCCATATCAATATAAAGTTCAACACAGTACAATTAACACTATTATTGAAATGCTGTTCAGGCCTCTGAAAACAGAGACTCATGACTTTTTTTTTCACAATGACTTCATCTGCGCAGACAGGATGCAGTGTGTTTTGCGTCATCATGCTGCTGTTTTGAATGATCTGCAGATTGTTGTTTGTCCGGTTTTCGTTTCAGTACCAAACAGTAAACACTACAGTCAAGGAATCGTGGAAAGTCTTGGAAGCTCTGGGCTTTTGTTGACAGGACTGGTCATGATCATTTTATTTCTCCAAAAATCAGCAGATTATTTTCCGAAGCTATCAAGTCACTTGTTTGGACAACGTCAGAAAATGGTTTGATTAAGTGGAAATATTCAAAAAAAAAAAAAAAAAGATCATTATGCACCGGCTAACGGGGATTTCCAGGAACTTAACATATTCAAAAGGAGTACAAAAAATAAAGGTATAATTCAAGTAATATGAAGATTATTATTGGATTTGGGATGCTAAAATATGGTGGAGTATAAGTATAAAAGAGTAATATCAATAATGAAAACATTAATTGACGATGATAAACTATTTATACTTGTGCTAATGCTACCAGTTTAGCATATGTTTTACTGTCCAACCCTGTCTGGTTCTTACCATGTGATGTTGACAGCAGGGGACTTGTCTCTTGCCGGGCGCCCTTCCCCGGCCCCGCTGCCCCATCTGGAGGTAGGACAGTCTCCTTGGACATGAGACAGTTGTCTTTTGGGGGGGGGGGGACTCTCAGTCACAGTCAGCCAGAAGTTCCTCCCTTCGAGCCCTCAGCTTTCAACGCTGTGAAAAGCAAACGTCTCATCATCAGCTCAGACTCGAGGACACTGTGCAGCTCCAAACCCCAATAAGTCACACTTTGACAAAGTCCCCTGCTTATTTACACAGACAGGAAAAAGACAAAGTGACGTCGGGTTCCAGTAAAACTTAGTGGAAATTTCCCTCTTATATCTTGTTTTTACGTAAACCTGTCCAAAGTGTCTCACTCTCACTCTTCTTTGCTTTATCACAAAAAAGCGACGTCTCAACGCCTGTTAAGTGATGTTTATAGGAAAAGCGGACACGCAGTTTAAAAAATCTCAACTTACCTTTCAAACATGACAACTCCCTCTGCTTCAGATTTGAAATATTCCCATCCTTCCTTCCTTTCTCCTACTCGTTTCCCGGCTGCGAAGAAAAACAAAAAAAAATTGAACTGGGTGAAAGAGGAAAAGTCAACGTCCCCAAACTTTTCCCAGACAGAAACTAACTTTGTTTGAAAGTTCGACCCTCAGTCAGGTTGTTGTCGTTTGAAAGAAATATCCACCAAATATTCCGGTAACGCGTCGACGCTACAGTGGCTGCAGTTTTGCTGAAGTTGGTTGCGTCTAAAACATTTTCATCATATCCGGATTCCTGCAGTGGAGGGGCCGCTGTGTTCTCTCCCCGCTCAGCTTCCTTTGGCGGCTCAACGGCTAACAGAGCCCTCCCTCCACATGTGTCCCACGCACACAGTAACGGAAGAAAATACCACAATTAACAAGGAATAAAATAAATATGTAGAGTAGAATATATAGAGTTTTTATATTTACATTTACATTTTAAGGCTGTTTGCCAAAATTATTCACGTCTCTATGAGAGTTAGCCTTCTTTTGGCTAAGTTCTAAGTTATTCGTGTCATACTTGTGGCTAACATTTAGCCTCTTCTGGAAGTGTTAAGTTCACTTTATTGATTTGTTTTAATTGTTATAAACTTTTTTTGTTAAATTTTACCCATAAGACGTTAGCTATAAGGAAGCTAATAGCTGTGTATTGTCTTTTGACATTTATTCCTCATTAGCAACCTAGCTTCAAGTTCTGTCTGTCAATTATTAAATAATAATAATAATAATTTCTGGCTAATTGTAAGGTTTATTAGTAATTTAAGTTATTATGGCCAATTTTGCCCAACATTCTGGCTAACCTTTAGCCAGACATTTACACTTTTTTTCCATTCTCATGCTAGTTTTTAGTGACATTTAGCTTTTTGTCTATTTTTGTATCAATTTTAGCGTTTAATAACATTTTCATTCAATATTTGGTTATATTTTCCAACTATTTTTGGCTTTATTTTTCTTTTCTGCTATTCCTGAATGACAAGGTTCAATTGGCTACACGGGTTGCCGGTGCTAAAGCTGAATAGATGGATAGCCACAAACAGTTACTGTTATGGATTGTTACTGGAAGTTAAAGGTCCGAAAAAATAAGGAAGTTTAACTATCTTATGAAATAACAAAAGCTGTTTTCTAAAACATAAAAAACCTTATTTTTCTTTTCCTTGTCATCTAGGTCCAGGTAAATACAGGGACCTGAATCACACTGATTTCCTCAATTTCTTCTAATCATCAAAATATTTAAACAATGACAAAATTAAATATATTTCAACAGGAAATAATAGTTATTTTTGTGAAATTCGAATAAAAATGTAACTTCATGAAAACCAAAAGCCCCTGAACCTACGGTTGTAAATACTTAGCTGCAAAATCTCAGAATTTGAAGCTCTAATGATTCTTATATAAAAAAAAAAACGAAAAAATGTTCTATGTAAAAGTTTGACAGGTTGTGTTTAAACTTTGAATAAAAATGTCACCTCAACAACCTCTTCGGTGACAATACTCTTATTCTTTGCTACATTTCAATTCATGTATAATTAAATTTAAATAAATGGCAGCGGGGCCTCATGCCGAGTCCTCCGTGTAGTCAGCAGGGTATTGTTAGCGCGGTGTCTTGCTGATTGCCATCATAGGAGTTGAACCCTATTGGTAACTGTATAAGTGAGATTTAAGCCTCGAAAACATGTGAGTGTGGAGGTGATTGATGTGAAATATGCCCCCGCTCATTGACTGGCTGAACTCTATTTTCTGCTACTAATGCAGAAATCACTCCGGGTCCCCGGCATAATGATTTACGATGAATCTGTGTCAATGTTGAACTCGGCAAACCCCACGTAATCCATCTTACAGATATACCTACCTACCCCGCCCCACCTTGTCTCCTCTTCTCCACCCGTCCTCTGCCTTTGCAGCAAGGAAGGTAGAGAACATGGCTCTCTCTCACTCCGTCTGTAAGTGTTGAATCCATTACAGGGCTGATGTGTAATCACACAGGACCCCTGTGACCTCTCAGACTGTAATTACTTGGATACAGATACTCCTTCACTCCATTGCCTGGCGCTGCTCAGAGCAAGGGGACTCCGTTAACCAGCATGCAGTGCTTTCACTCTCCCTATCTGGGTGGCAGTATGGAGATGTATTTGAAGGATGAGGCCTGCAAGAAAAATCACAGCTAAAATTACCTTTAAGTAATGGGATTTTGACCTTGCAGTGTGTGTACTGACCGCAGTTCACCTGGGAGATGGAACGGTGCAGAGTCAAAGTTTGTACTTTGCCAGAAACTGACTGGCCCCACGCACACGAGAGTGTGTTCACACACACACACACACACAACACGACTGCCCTGTGAAATCAACCCCCGCGGTCTGTCTTTGTCTCTCTTACATAGTGACAGCGCTGTTGCTGCTGACAAACATTATCTTGTGTGTGATCATGTGCACAGTGTCATCCCAGACTCCCTCCCTCCTTCCCTCCTTCCCTCCCTCCGTCTTCCTTTTCCCTTCAAAATAAGTCAAAGTGGAGCCAGCTGTGTAGACACAGTGGGCTGTCACACCGTGTCAAGCGTCGGTGTCAGCGTTGCATCTGTTGCCGTCACATCTCAGAAGACATGAGGAAATGTCTCTCTGTTGACTTCATCTGTTTGTTTGGCAGCCCGCCTGATTGCTGGAGTGTGCAGTGCTGAAGAGGAGTACGGGGCTCAGTCAGGGTTGCGCGCTAATCCTTGGTTGCATGCTCCGAACAAACACCCATCTCTGTGTCAAGCTTTTCCCGGCATTCGCTCTAATTCCACCAAAAACAGACAGTGAAAGCCCCATGTGTCGCGTCTCCCTAATCTTAATTGGCCAAGTCCTTTTCTTTTTGACGTATTTCATTTGTATTAGAATAACATTTCATTTGTGATTTTATTGTATTTTTTTAATTGTTTCCAGCTTAACAGGTGATTGAAATACACTATAAATATACTTTTGTTACAAATGCATGAATCTATTTTTGTTGTTGTTGTTGTTGTTGTTGTACAAGCCTTGAGTAATAGGATTGATACCTTACACTTTTAGTCTTTCATCAAATCAGGGATCTTCACCATTACCCAAGACAAGACCCCCACCCAAAACTGAGGTATAGAAGGAGCAGGGACCCCGAATTTATTATTACTTCTTCTAGCTTCTCAAGTAATAAAGAAGCTCATATATTTATTTATATGTACGTACAGTATATACAGTATGTCTTTATCAGAAGGATTTGGGTTCGAGCCCAGGAGGAACCATCTACCTTATGGCACCTCCGGTGGCAGCCTGTGTAGCCTGCAACAGCACACACAGATTTCCCCATTGTGGGATGAACCACATCTATCATCTACATATAATTATTATACCAAACACAGTCTATATATTTCACCATTAGTGGGCGTGCCTACGGGTGAGTTCAATGACACTTGGCTGCTCCAATATCTACAAAAACTGTCTGTAACACAGAGCAACCTGAATGAAACTGAAACTGAGAAAATCTCACAAGAGAACTTTTCTTACCGTCCACTCTGTGGGTCTACGACCTTATATTTGTTCAACTTAATGACATCATTCAGAGGACACATCTGAGGAAGGACAAAAAATATCAAAACATGTCAAGGTAAAATATCACAATCCTTTGTCTGAGATAAAAGAAAAGTTCTGCCAAAATATTTCAGACATTTTTCAGTCATTTGTTTGTCATAAAACAATGCTCCTCCAATGAGAATAAGCCCATACAGAGTCTTTAATTCCCTGGTGTATTTGTGCTCCTCCAATGAGAAGAAGCCCATACAGAGTCTTTAATTCCCTGAAGAATCAGTCGTTTTAGATAAAGTAAAAACTTTACCCGATGTTAAAATCAGACAACGGCCGTAGGACAAAAAGTCTGTAATTATCTATAATGATCTTATTCCACGGTCCACTGGAGTTTGAATACAAATGTAAAAGTTGCCCCTTCCCTGGCCTGACAATCCACTTTAATGGTCAGCCTTAAAGAGTGGAGATGCCGGCACCTGCACCGGATCAAGTCTTCGGAGATCTCACAAACGCATTCACACAAAATGAATGCAAATTAATAAGTGAGGCCGTTTGAAAATGACCGTGGCACCAGCTGAACCCTGACACCCTCACATGATTAATAGCACGATGGTGAGAAGGTTTTTGTTTTAACTCTAAGCGAAGCCGTCTTGTCAGAACATTCAGAGAAGAAAGCAGACTTTTTTGGCAGCAGATATCTCTCCGTCTGGACGACAGTTTCACTCACATAATTATAATTCTTTTTTGCTCAGCCATAATGTCACTGCGCTCAAATGCAAACAAACACAGGAGAAAGCAGCGACAGTGGGACGTGAATAATGACCGACCTTCAGCTCGTATATCTGCACATCTGGACTCAGAGTCGGGGATGAAAAACTTCACCTAATCAGTTACAAATGTCTTCACACAAAGGCAGCAGACTTCATAAATATGTATGCCTCACTTTTTAGCGCGAGGAAGGGAAGTGGAGGTGATTGACGATTAATACTGACACTAAAAACAAGGGCCCACTCCGCTAGCTCTTTACAATAACTCACGCCAGGTGATGTGAAATCCACATGTGAGGACGACGCCCGCGCCGCTGATTCAAGATGGCTTCTCCAGGCTCCTGGAAAAACATAAGATCAAAAAGTTTACACCCATCTGTGAGTCATTTAACTTTATTGAAAATCACCCAAAGTTGATGAGACAGCGACGGTGATTGACCTGTCAGTCAGGATCACTGCTGTTCCACGGACTGATGTTGTGATGATGTTGAGGAGACCAGAGGAGGGATCTCCAGAAGAGAGAGATGGAATTTGGTGTAAACATGTTATGATTTATATGAAAATCCAAAAAAATAAGAATGGAAAAAAATACCCCAAAACCTGTACTCACTTGTACCAAAAATGTGAAAAAAAATAACTTCCTGATTTGTAAAAAATAAATTAAAAAATGTGATTCTATACTATGAGTTTTGTCAACAATATATATATAAAAATTGTCATATATTGACCAAAATTCTGTATATACTATGACTTTTGTGAAAAAATCCCCAAAAACAAATCTCAAAATGAAAACACAATTCCCCAAATTATCCAAACATGTGTCTAATTTGTACCAAAAATGGCAAAGAACATAATTTCCTGATTTGGAAAAACAACATACTATACTATGACTTTTGTAAAAAGTCAAAAGGCCTCAGAATACAAGAAAATACCCTGAAAACCACACACCCTTGTGTATAATTTGTACCAAGAATCACCCAAAGTTGGTGCGACAGTGACAGTGATTGACCCGTCTGTCGTCATGGACTGCTGTAGTGATGATGTTGAGGAAACATCTCCAGAAGAGAGAGATGCAATTTGGTGTCAACCAATTAGATGCAAATAACACAGTGATGCAGTAACACGCTGACCTGGTGGGAGTTCTTACAACTCCACTGTATACATGACATGGAGCGCATACCAATCAGGACCTGGCAGGTCTGACTTATCAGACCGCATTGTGATGATTGATGCAAAGTTACAGCTTCGTGACCGAGGTGACTCATCGCTGCTTATGAGTTCTGAACCCGCGGGCACACACACCGTCGGTGAGAAATGCTCATGATTACTGCGACCGTGAATCAGGAGTAGCAGCTTAAGGCTCAGATGAAAGTGTCACTGTTATAATATTTCAAATGTTACTTCATGCATTTCCCACCGGCGCTCTAATAAGCACAGAAATTTCAAGCCTTTCCAGTTTTGAAAGTAAACTTTTTGTCTCCTTTGTCCTTCGCCTGCCTTTGTTGTCCAACGTGGAACGACTGTTTGGATTTCTATGATCCTTCGCAGATTCCAGATTAGCATAAACCGTAAGCCGAGCTCAAGCGACACCGGCTTAAAATCACAGTGGGATTCTTGGTTGGGGAGGCGTGACGCCTCATAGCCTGTGTGTCCTGCTCAGAGCGTTCTCACATGGTGCCAGTGCCAGCCCCTGAGTCCTGTTAGTGAAACTCCTGGGTTGAAATAGACCAGTTTTTCACACACACAGCCACCAGCAGGCAACTGGAGAGAAATAAAAACAACAACTGACACACAAACAAAGCACAAAATCTTCATCCTGAAACTCTGTGCCGCTAAGACACAATCCTCTCTTCTCTTTAGTCGGAGAACATTCCTGTTTCTGATTAATTGGACGTCCTGTCTAAGCGTGGAAGATTAGGCTTTGACAGAGGTTATAATTAAACAGGACAAAAATCAGGAAGCATATGAAATCTCTCATTTCTCCAGCAGACGTGTGAGTTTTAATTTACCTCTCGCTGTGGTCACCTGCCGAGAGCCAATTCACTGTGCATCGCTCTGCGCATGACGTCGGGCTCGGACAGAATGTGTTGTTAAATCAAACGTTCCCTGCACCCCCACCCCCACCCCCCTCAATGCCAATTTATGGAACAGCGGTCAAATATTTATCCAGTTGATGAGCTGGGCTGTGTGTGTTCCTTCCTGGACAATAATTAAAGACAAACCTGAGCCAAAGGTGAGCAGCAGCCGCGACACCACTTCACAACAGTCCTCACACGGCCCCCGGATTTACTAGAAATGTTGGAGCCACTCCGAAATAAAAAAAAAAGGAAATTGAACAAAAACTTTAATTTAACAACAAATGTTACTCTAAATATAAACATATTCACAAACCGAGGCCTGAAGTCGACTCCAATACTTTTGAGAATGGAACATTAGACTAAAACTGTCATGGTGTTTGTGCATGACAGCCAACAGTTAAACTATGACACCATCTACAGCAGGGGTCACCATATCACTGTATTTCTCGGGGGGTTCTCGTGGGGGGTCAGACTCTCAAATAAATCGATATAAAAAAAAAATTGTCTTACATTGTTGTCTGCTGTATCCAATCAGGAGCTGTACTGGATGGTTCGGCGGGCTGGATCTGGCCCACGTGCCGCCAGTTGATAATCATTATAGAAATGTTCCAGCAGTCAGGACAGTAGAAGTCTGAGGGTGTGAAGGCGGAGTGCAGAAACTGCTGCTGAATGTGCACGATGTCCTGACTTTGTTTACAATTACTTTAAAAAAATAAATGACAAGAACATGTATTAATAACCTTGTTGCTAATTTATCTCTGGCCTTGTGCATTGCACGTGTCCTGCTCCTACAATAGCTACGTACCCTCCACAGCCCCTGCCCCTCACTTTGAGAACCACTCTGTTGAAAACATGCCAACACCTCTGAACAAAGGTTTGGCGTACTGAGGATTGGACTGAAGCACAGGAAGGATGTTTAGTGTCTGCAGCGCTGCTTGTTTTTTCCTGCTGCCATGCTGTTGCATGCTGGGTAAACATCCGGGATGCCTGAGTGACTGAGTTTTCCTGGTTGATGTGGACCTTTCACCTCCCACTGCCTCCTCCACTGTGACACGCTGGAGTCTGACTCTCTCATCTGGAAAAAAGGCAGTTTATTTTCCCACCCTCGCTCACACATACAGCAGACATCAAAGATGTTAGACGGAGTCTTGATGCCCCCTGTTCCCCACATGGTTGCCTTCTGCCTCCTCAGTGGAGGCTGTTGGGTGAGAAGGAATGAATAGCCATGAATGGGCCGGTACTGCGTGATGTGGGCGGGGCCTGTTGGAGGAGCTGTGGTGTGTTTTCAGACGGACTGGGGTCCGACATGGAGAGATCATGGGATAACAATTAGATTCAGACAGATGTGCAAATCAATAGCAGCACAAATGTATATGTATATATATATGGGGTCTCAAACATCTGGCTTGTGGCCACTTCTGGCCCACGACCCCCCTCTCATCTGGCCGGATATTACATGTCAATAATAAGTAATTTTTTTCCCTTGATGTAATTAAAGGGATTTTATAGCTTTCTACGATTAATATTAAAATTAGCAAGATTTAAATCAATGAAAAAAAAAAAACTTGTTGAAGAAAACTTGTTAGCAACATTAGCAATGCTAACAGTAAAGAAAGTCAAAGAAAATTTGCCAAATACTTTAAGGGTTAAGAGATTTACAAATACTGGATTCTTCAGAAAAAAATAATAACGTGCTCTCAGACAGTAAAGCTGGTGGATCTGTGTGTGTGTGTACGTGTGTGTGTGTGTCTGTATGTGTGTGTGGTGGGGGCAGGGTACACTGGCAGACATTAAAAAACAATCAAGCTGTTTATTGTGTTTGCAATAATTAGATCTTTAACAGTGGGAGGTTTTCCTCCCTCTGATTCTCTAATTTGATACAGTATCGTCTCATCGCCGTGCCGCAGGTTAGCCACATAGGGAGGAAACATTAATCTAATCTAACACTTTCATTCAATACTCCGGGGGGAGATCGGTGCTCGCTGGTGCAAACTGCCGCGATTAAATTAATGTTGTTGTTTGTCTCGTGCTGGAACAAATAGGATGTGCATGACAAACGGGATCTTTTACTGAGCAGAAAATTGGACTATTTAGCGTTAGCTTTGGCGTCATTAACACACACGTGTGAGATACTGGTTAAATAACAGAGTGGGAATGTAATTAATAGTCATTACTGAATAAAATGTTTACTGTGTGGCACCAGAGGAGGGTGTAAAAACACATATAAAATACACCGTTAGCGCATGTGCTAACGGTAACTTTTCTTTTTAACATTATTTTAAACTGTGATTCTATCCTGTCCTACCGGTTGGTTACATGTCCACCAATTTGCGGCAGGGCATACGGTCTGCGGTACGATTCCCTCTACACCTCACAGTAAAGTCTCTAGAAAGGCCTTCAGAGAGAACAAAAAAACATTACATTCCATTTGCATGTCATTAAAAAACTGGAACCCCACCCCCC